ATAACTTAACTGCAGACCACATGTACACTTGTGCTCTTTCAATTTGTAATAACTATAAAATGTAAAACTGGGTATGTCTTTGGACTTCTGCAAATAAAGTCCAGAGTCCTTGGTATGGTCTAGAAGGCCCTACATTATCTGACCTGCCTTCTTTCCCAATCTCATCTTGACCCCTCAGAGCCAGACACTCAGGCATATTAAACACCTTCCTGTCTGCCTCATAGACGCCTATCCTTCGGTTTTCAGCTCGACCATCACCAGTCTGCAGTATTTCTGAATTCTCTGCCCACATTGTACTTTCATATGTATCTTTCACCTTTAGTGGTTTGTACTTATGCCTGGTCTAACTAGATTGTCTCCCTATAATAGATTCCTTGATTCAACAAAGGAGCTCTGAATCAGCCTGAAACGTATGGCACCTTGCAAAATGGCAAACATTCAGTATGTATTTGCCCAGTAAATGTTAATGAAAGGAAAAAATTTCACACTTCAATCAGAATAGGATTAGAGCTAAGTTAATGTTTCCCATAGAAATCTTCCTTATCATAAATATCATCCTAAATGTCCTGAGTCCTCCCATAGGTCTAATTTACCAAATCATGAAGACTCTCTTTCTGACTGTATGTGTGTAGTGGGAAAGGCAGAACATAGTGTTTTTGTCTTTTTTTTTTTTTTTTTTTGACAAGTCTCTCTATCGTTTTTCTGGGGATGAAATCTTAGGCTATGTAGCTTTTCTGGTCCCTTTTTGGCAATCAACAAGTCATCAGTTTTTCTAGCTATTAAAAAGTCCACACCTTTGAAATATCAAGATGCCAAACTCTCTCCTAATTGAAAATATAATTCTGCCTCTTACTGATGCCTTTGGGTGGGAAGCTTAAAGACAGCAGTGTGGGGCTATTGGTTTTCCTTTTCCTCCCTCTACCTCCTTTCTCATTCCAGAGCTGTTGGTGCCCTTTCTCGAGGCGAGAGAATTAGAAATAAAGATCCTGCCTTATCCAGTCAGTTAATTATGACTTTGAGCCAGGGTGGGGAGTGACTTTCTCTCCTGGAATACACCCTGCTGAGAACCACAGCTGAGATTCTCTAAGCTGGCAGTTTCCAACCTCTCCCTCCCTCAACAGCTTCAACATTATATGGCACTCAGCTGCAGGGTGCCCACTTGTGCAGAGTAGTTTTCAAGATGGCTCATATCCCATCTCTTTCAATGACCAGTGTGGCCTATGGAAAACATACATCTTGACTCCATTATTGGTGGGAGTACTCTGTAGTTAGCTGCCACACGCCACTTCAGGTACCTCTTACCCCAAGACCCTTTTCAGAGAGTCAGGTACCATCCCCGTGTCCCCCAACATCTAAAGACCACAGGTGAAGGTCTCCAAGTAGTTCACTTAAAAAATACCTCAGTAGATTTAAGATCAGGGAAAGCTACCAATTGATGAGACCAGTATGACCCTGATCCCAAAACCAGACACAGATATAATAGGAAAACTACAGACCAATATTCCTTATAAATATAGATGCAAACATTCTAAACAAAATATTAGCAAACGAACTCCAGCAGCATAGAACAAGGTTTATGTAGCATGGACAACTAGATTATCCCAGGAATGCAAGGTTAATTCAATAAACAAAAGTCCATTAATGTAATACAACATATTAAGCGAATAAAGGACAAAACATGACAATCTTGATACAGAAGCAACATTTAATAAAATCCATGACCTTTCCTTTTTTGATAAACACTCAGTAAACTAGGTTTAATAAAAGAATTTCCTCAACTTGAGGCAAACCCACAGCTAACATCATACTTAATGGTGAAAAACTGAATGCTTTCCCCCAAAAATAAGGAACGAGAAAAAGATGTTTGCTCTTGTCACTTCTGTCCAATATTGTACTAGAGGTGCTAGTCAGCACACTAAGACAAGAAAATGAAATAATAAGAATCCAGACTGGACAGGAAGTAAAAGTACTTCTGTTCACAGGTGAACGATCTTATATGCAAAAAATACTAAGTGACCAAAAAAAAAAAAATTTAGAAAAGCTACAATATACAAGATCAATATACAAAAATCAATTTTATTTCTAACACCAATGACGAATTAAAAAAAATAAAAATTAGAAAATAATTATAGTGGCATCAATAACACTTAAGAGGCCAAGACTTGTACAATGAAATCTATAAAACATCACTGAAACTAAAAATCTAAGCAAATGCAAAGACATCCCACAGTCATGGAATAGAAAACTCAATACTGCTAAAATAGCAGTTATTTCTCAAATTTATCTACCAATTCAACTAAATCCCCATCAAGATCCTGGCTGTTTTGCAGGAATTGACACGATGATCCTAAAATTCATCCGAAATGCAAGGGACCCAAAATAAAATGATTTTGGGAAAAAAATTTGAAGGATTCACATTCCAAATCAAAACTTACTGCAAAGCTACAGTAATCAAGACAGTGTGGTATTGGTATATAGGACAACGGAGTAAGACTGAGAATCCAGAAACAGTCTTCTATTTATGGTCAACTGTTCTTTGACAAGGGTACCAAAACCTTTTATGGAGAAATAATAATCTTTTCAACTGGTGGTTGGGCAGCTGGATATACAGACACCAATGCACTTGTGCAAAAATGGATGAAATAGGAAGTTTCACTAAACTTCTGCTGCATGCCGGGTCATTTTCAATCATTTAGGTGGCCACACTTAAAAAGCAACAGAAGATGGAAGCAATAACATGTGAAAGGCAAAATGATAAAAGAATGAGTCTCTATCATGAATTTACTTATAGTCCAGGCAAAGGTTATTAAAAGAAAAAAAAAAAAAAACCTTAGAAAATTCCTTAAGAATCCCAGTGACTCCTCACTGTTCAACTAAGAAATGTACCTCACCATGCCGTGCTACCATGGAAGCATTGGAGGCACTTTGGGGGTCGATGAAGTCTTCATGGGTGAGGTACTTTAACAAGCTGGTCATGAAGAGTATTTGAAAAACATAAAATAAGCATGACAAGTGAAGATGCTGGGTAGGAATGCAGGGAGAAAAATGTGTCATACAAGGCAAAGCTGGAAAGGTCAGTGAGGGGGCAATCTGGAGGCACAGAATGCGAGGGATATTAAAATTAGCAAGATGGTGTTCTGGCACAATGAAAAGGATTGGGAGAGGGAGATCAGAGTCAGGGAGTTAAATTACACAGCTGCTAAGAAAGTCCAGGTAAGTCAGAGGATCAGGAACCTGTTAAGAGCATTATAATAAAGGAGGAATGATGTCAGAAGTTTAAGGGGAAATAACTGACGACCTGTGACAACTGAGGAATGAGAGATTTTGGTGACTGGGGTGAAGGTGACACTTCTTAAAAAAAAAAAAAAAAAAAAAGAGTAGTCGATAGAGAAGCAAGATGAAGAGTTTTTAGGCGTACTGACTTTGAGGTAACAAATCCTGGAGATGGAGGTCTGAGCAAAAGATAAGGAACAGGGGAAGAATCTTTGGGAGTGACTGAGGTTGATCGGAGACAGTAGGCAAGAACAGGTAAGAACTTTAAGCAGGAAAGGAAAAAAAAAAAAAAAAAAAAAAAACTTTAAGCGGAATTGGAGGAGTAGCCATCCAAAATCTGGTAAGCTGTGAAAGAAAAATAGCAGCCAGAGAAGCAGCAGCTGAAGGTAGGGTGTTGTCAAGGTTATGGTTAAGTGTTACTGATATTGGCAATGAGGTGGTTATAAAGATCCTGAAGACTGTACTTTCACTCAAACCGCCCTGGATTAGCAGCCTTTCACAGTGAGATCTACCCCACACCTGCATCCATCTTGCAGTGGCTGTTAACAAATGCCCACTCACTTACCCGGGAGGGGAGAAAAGACCTGGGACTCTGCACTTGTGAAACCCTCTGCCCTTCCCAGGCAATTCTTTCCACACTAACACTGTGAGGTAGAAGGATGCATGACAAGTGAGGGAGCAAATGGAAGCTGTGTTTTTGGTTTTTTAGTGGCCCAGGAAGGGTGGCAAGGGTACAGATGGCCCTTAGATAGGCACTGGTGGAAGGTCAGGAAAAAAAAAAAAAAAAAAACTTGCAGTAAGCAGGTAAAAGGGGTAAAGGGATGAAGACCACACAGGGACTAGTCTTGGGAAGACATTTTTTCCTCTGACAATTCGTATGGAATTATTGAGAAAAATTCCTCAAAGGGGCCTGAAATCTCAGAATGGCATGTTTTTAATGCAACAGGGAGTGATGCTGCCCCATTACAACCATCTGTTCTAACAGAATGTCTGTACCGAGGAGGGATGAATAACATCAGCAAATTGTTTGAAGCCTCATTTTCAAGTTTCCTTTTGATACGTATCTCCCTATACAGGCAAGCATCCCCAAAAGTAGTCTGAGGAAAGCAGGGTTATCTTAACCAGCTCATTTGCTGGAGCTGCCAGGGTCCAAAAAAGTTTGGCGGCAGGCTGTTTCCATAAGTTTTATGTTTGAAATGTTCTATCATAATAAAAGGTAGAAAAAAGTTTACATACCAATTACTTAGATTTATGGTTCCTTTTTTTCCCTGCAGCGCTTCCTGGAGATTGAGGTCTAAGTCAAAGAAAACCAAAATATGTAATAGAGTACCTGGGCAAAAAAGTAACTTTTATAACCTAACATTTGGGGAAGATGGAGTATACACTACAGCCAAAATTTCTGTTCTCTTCCTGAAAATATTGTTCAGGGACATTCCATTAAATAATAATGAAAAGGCAGTGAAAGTAAGTGAAGTGATAACAGGCCCTGCATAATTAAGCAAGCTAAATTACCAGCTAGTCTGTGCAACCAATGGTTTTTTTTTTCCCCTCTAAAATTTTAAGGGTAGGTTCACTTTGACTCTTGGTTAACAAAGTTTATTTGATGTGAATTCTGCATCTGATAACCTATTTCAATTACCACTTTAAAATTTGTCATAGGGATACAATACTACAATTGCAGATCTTCAATACCGTAATAATAAAACTGGAAAACTGAAGAGCACGCATTTCTTCACGAATTTATTATATAAAACGCCCTCAGAGTATTTAATTTCTCCTCACTGTCATTACACATTAAGAAGCACAGTGGATGAGAAGCCTTTAAGATGACTACAGTTGCACGAAGGTCCCTTTCATCAAGGTAGCACACGTCCTTAACAGGCCGGCCCAGAAAAACCCCATGTTACCTTATCACAATATGGAAAGCATTGTCTTGTTTTTTCCCCACTAAATAATGGTGAAAAGTGCCACAGTTTTATTTAGCATTATGGTACATAACAGTTCTGTTTCAATTATGAAAAAAATTAAAATAATCCTGAAAGACATCCTTTTTCTCCCCCCAATGATTTGAAAGCTGCATTTTTCCTGCCAATTTCAAACAAATCATCAGGTTAATCTCCAGTAATCAGTTAAAACAATCACCAAGGCACAAGCTCAGCACATTAGCTATAGCTTGTAGCAAAAGGATATATCAATGTCTCACCTTAGTTAAAAATACATAATCCTTTTATTTTATAATGCAATAAAAGAAATTAACATCACATACACAGAAGACTAGGAAAGGGGAAACTAATTACTTCTGAAAATCCAGTAATGTAAACCTATTTGTACTTTTCCATAGTACATGAAAGTAACGTTTAACATGTTTTGAATTAAATTTAACCTGTGGGGCTATACAGTGTAATCGTAGGAGTAATAGTTTCATTCAGTTCCAGGTCAGCTTACGTATGATTAAGTAACACAAGGCACAGTAGCCATCTTTTTCATTATGTTGCAACACTGATCACGTGCCTCGATAAAATGGCTGATTTAACAAGATGATGGCAACACGAAGGGGAGACTTTGGATTGTCTATTTAAAATCTAGGTAATAAGCAATTAATAAAAACTCTATCTTAAGTGCACTTTCACATGCTTTTTGTTTATAATAAACAACAAACTTCCTAACTTTGTTGTAATAGGCTTGACTACCATTTCATTTGGCCAAATGCACTTTCCCCAGTAAACTTAAAATAACAACAAGAACAACAAGAACAAAAATCCCTGTCCTTTCATATACTAAGAAAGAGGATTGGCTACTGAAACAGTTCATTGCAAGACACATGAAAACATACTGTGGCATGAGTTGTTTTTAATTTGTTGTGCTGTTACTAAAGTTCTGAGGGCTGCAGTTAAAACATTCCAATTTCTCCCTTCCATCTTTATTGATTCTCAAGATTTTGCACAGAAAACTCTTTGGGGGCTAGAACAGCAGTAATCGCATCACACTGTTTTCAGGACTTCAAGTTTCAAAAGCAAATCATTAAAAAAAAATACAGTTCCTGATTTGAGTTAGATACAGGGACAAAAAAGTAGCACATACTTGAAGGTTACATGGTCTACAAATGGTGGCAATATTTTCCTTGGGAGAGTAGTTCTGTTGGTATATATTTTTTAAATACTCAAAAGGCTCAACCTCAAGCAGTAATAAACACAAGCAAAAGTGATTTAACCCTTAAAATAAATATTCAGAAAAACCTCTCTGTACATACAAGTGAAAGAATATGTAACACTTTCACGCAAAAAAATAATTATAATAATAATAAAGGATTTGTTCATATATGTAGCTGAAATCTGCTGTTCCAGCCCATATGTCCCCAATAAAGAAGGGAGGCACAGACATAGGTGACTCTGTGGTTCACTATCTTACAGCCTTTTTGTACTGGGACACTATCACCACCAAAATTTATCCCTCATTATATTTTTAAATTTTTTTTTAAATTTTTTCTTTTTTTTTTTTTTCCTTCCTTTTTTTGTTTTGTTTTACAGCATGCCAAATCCTTTGGCATATGTGATGGCCTTCAACAATCTCTCTTTAAGTTTTTCTTTGCTTGAATATTCCGGAAGTAAAAGCACATTAAAGCAAGTATGAGATGTAGGTAACCTAAATAGAGAGAAGGGGAAAAGAAACAGGAAAATAGTAAGTCACGGGAAATACACTTAGAATTAAATGCTCCTATTTTTAGATGGTATATGTAGTTGAGATGGTTTGCAATGCAAACTATACATTAATGCAAATCGTAAACGTTTTGTTGTGTAACTACCAAATATCGGTTTGTCTTTATCCTATAAATTACTCAAAGGTAGTGATGATGATGATGATAAGATGCTGCATCCATTGAGTTATTACTACATACCAGATACTGTTTTAGGCAATTAATTCTTATAGTTCATTTAAACTAAATCTTTCCACAACCAAACCACAGAGAGGACATCAGTAGCATTTTAGAGGTTAGGTTATTGGGAAGTTAAGCAACTTCCTCTAAGGTGGAGAAAATAATCAAACTGGTTTACAAGATTTTAAAGTGTGGGCTCTTAAATGCTTATTAGAGATACTGCTGGCAATATGATTATGAAAATGGTTTCATAACAGGATTCTAGCATAATCGAATAACAGTCTTCTAAGCCTCAATTTAACCATTCTAAATAGATAAATTAACAAGCTGGGAATCAAAAAAGTGAATGAATCATACTAATTTGAAAAATTCCAAACCAATGTGAGCTCCATAATAATTTTTAACTAGGCCAATTTTTTAAAAGTTTCCTCACACAATGACAGCAAAATATTTTCTCAACTGTTTAATATGATCTGGAGATTTGTATATAAAATCACGGATGTGCTTAGAAGCTACAAAGACAGTTCATGCGTGTATGATGGGGAATGGAAGGTTTTCGGTGGATATATAGTTACAACTTGATAATTACCTTTCCGTGTCTGGGCCATTTTTGGCTATAATCATCTTTAATTTTCCTAGTCCTCCCACAGGTGCTCTGTCTGTGCCTGTGGTAAATTGCAAGAAGAGTCTTTTCTGTTCATCTGTAAATGAATGAACGATTTCCCAGAACTCCCTAATGAGAAGAGATACAATACTGGTTTCAGCTTGGCATTCATTATAACTGGTACTAATATGAACGTATGATTCAAACTAAAACTATATTAAGAAGCAACTTGGAAGTTAATATCAGGAACACTTCTGGTGACTGAATAATTTCCAAGCAAATTTTCCTTAAACAGTTCTGAATACATAAAAATTTAGGATTACGATAATATAGTAAAATATTAGTAATACAGTAGTAAAAAAATTGAGAAAACCCAAGTGTGTAACAACAGGAAGTGACTATGTAAACTATGTTATAATCACTTCATGTAGTCAGTAATGAACAAAAGACAAAATCCTATGAATTGAAAAAGACTGAAAGGAATATTGTGCAAAAACTCCAGGTGCCTTTGGGTATATATTTTATTTATCCTTTATCTTTTATTCTCCTGCTCTACTCATCCTTTAACTCAACTTTTGGGAGGAAAAAGTGATACAGATTAAGTACAAAAGAAAAAAGAGCCTCCCGCCCCGCAAACCCACCCGGCCCCAAATCCAAACAACCACATACCTAATAGCAGTAATACAACAGTTCAATTTTTATATGAACTAGAATATTTTATCAAGTAACATGTGCTGTGTATGGAGGAGGAGAATTATTCTGACATTTCTGCCATATGCAGTTATTTTAAGAGAATGATTTATCCCTGTGGCATTCCTAAAATCTACGTAATAAAAGCCATGTTTTAATGACACTTAATGTTAGTTTGAGTTCTAAAATGTTAGTTTGAGTTCTAAAAAGCGAAATGTAAGCTCATGAAGTGCTATCTTGAAGTGTTTTGAATAATCAGGCATCTATAAAACATATATACAGTAGTTCATAGCTAAATAATTTTAAGATTCAAAAACAGTATTTTCAGTTGGGTATAAATATAAAATGCATCTTAATATTTATTTACAAAGTTCTTTCCAGAGCCAGGTGCAGTGGCTCACGCCTGTAATCCCAGCACTTTGGGGGGATCACCTCAGGTCAGGGGTTCAAGACCAGCCTGACAAACATGGTGAAACACCGTCTCTACTAAAATACAAAAATTAGCTGGGTGTGGTGGCAGGTACCTGTCATCTCAGCTACTTGGGAGGCTGAGGCAGGAGAATCACTTGAACTCAGGAGGTGGAGGCTGCAATGAGCTGACGTCATGCCACTGCACTCCAGCCTGGGAAACAAGAGCAAAACTCCACCCCACTTCCCCACCAAAAAAGAAAAAAGAAAGTTCTTTCCAGAATGGTTAGCAGAGAATATCACACATCCCAAATCAGTAATTGTATTTTTCTAGTTTTTGATATTCCAATATTCCAACATACTATTTTTATTACCAAAATGCTGGCATTTTTGTTGCTGCAACACCATTAATCTGAAATAAATTAAAACCTTTATTAGAATTCTTGGCTTTCTCCGGTCTCTTGCCACTTCCGTTCCCTGCCCCTCTATGAATCTACCAGTCAGCAAGAGAAAACAAAAAAGAAATACACAAGAACAGAAAACTGGACATGAAACTTGCAGGAGCATCTTCCCAGTTGAGGAGGAAAGGAATCAGACCCCAGTTCATGACATTCCTTTTGGGGTGGCTGGCAAGAAGAAACAAGTCTGCTATAGCAAGGAGCCCTCCAACAGAGCAGAAAAGCTGCCCTGCAGTGGGTGGTAAGAAAGTCTCCTCACACTGCAGGAGGGCTCTGAAACTTAACTGAACCAGCTACACCTCAGGAGGCAGATCAAAGAGCACCACCGAAGAGTGGAGACAGACCCTGTAGGAAATGGCAGATGAGCAGTGACCAGTCTGGCTGTATCATTATGGAGCTGCTTTGGTCTTTTAAGCAAAACCTTTAAAAATTTTATACAATGAAAACAATTAGGGAACAAAATTCTTCTCTTCCTGTTAAGTGTTATATTAACATTTTGAATTAAATAAGAATGCATTCATTTAGAAAGCTGAAGAACAAATGAAGCTTCCAGGTTTCTACATAAAAGTGGTGGCTGTGTTGATCACATCCTACTCACATCTCTCAAAATCTATCCAGATCACAAAGGGGAGAAATAAAAACACCTATGACATATGTGTAGAGTAAAACCAGGAGACAGAGGAATAGATTCCAAATGTCACAGAAGTGGGGAAATGAGCAGGGTCCAGCAGGAGCTACATGGAGAGTGGTGTGTACAGATTCATACTTATTAGGGATCACCCAGGAAGGCTGGACTCCCCAGCACCTGCCGCTCAACAGAACATTGCAGAGGCCAGAGGGGACTGGCAACAGGGTGGTTAAAGGAAGGACTATAGAAAAGTACTTGGGTCCAGCAATGGCAGTCTCAGGAAGGCACCATGCATGAAAGGAAGGTGGTACCTTGGAAAGCTCAAGTGTCCCTTAAGGGCCGTAAAGGGATGGAAGCACCTAATGAAAAAGAGTCTTAATCCAAATGGAGCTGAAAAATCAGAAAGTGGTGATTCTGCGCTTACTAAAGCAACAGAAGACGGTTCCCTTCAACCAAGACTCCTAAAGCCATGCAAATTCCTCCCTGCTCCACCATGAGGTCTAGTAATGACAGGTCCAGAAAAAACTAACATCTATTATAGAAACAACAAACAAAAACAGGATTACTGAGTCCAAATAAATATATTATGGAGAAAGTCTGGCGAATGAGAAGGAAAACTTTCTGGAAGACGAAAGAAAGTACACCAGAAAAATTCAGTCATAAACAACGGGAAACCCGTAACACCAAATTCCAACACATAGGGAGAATGCAGCAGCAGGCAAAAAAGAGCACCAGTGATGAGAAATACAAATTCAGAGAGAAATGAGCACATCTGAAATAGAAATAAGAATACTAAAAAATAAGAAATATGCAAAGTAATAATTTTGGAAATAAAGGCTAATTTTATTATAAGGTAACCAAAGAAGCAGCAATATGACTAAAATTTCTACTGAGGATATAGAGTCTAGAAAATTAAAAACCAAGAAAATGAATAAAAGAAACATAACTAAAGAAATGCATATCAAAGCAGAATAACGAAAAAGATTAACAGCTAACTACATAAACATAAGGTTAAAAGACAAATGACAAACTGGGAAAAAATAGTTGCAAATTTACTGTAGTTAAAGGGCTAATCTCCTTAACATATAAAGTTTCTAAAAATAAAATGACCAACTGAGCAGCAAAATGAGCAAAAGATGTTATAAAACTATAAACAGCTCTTAAGTACAAGAAAAAATGCTCATCCTCATCCATAACTGAGGTAAACTCAAAAATTGTTAAGTACAGTAAAATATCATTTCCCAACTGGCAAATAAGTAAATATCCACATTTAACAACACATTCTGTTTGGAAAGTTTTAAGAAAAGAGCTACTGTTGTAAACTGCTGGGGGGAATGCAAAATGTTACTTTTCTGTGAAGGAGAATTTGGCAGGATCTTGCAAAATTATACATGCATCTACCGTTTGTTGCAACAATCCTGCTTCTAATAGTTTCTCTTAATGATACCTTACATATGTAAGGAATAATGCATGAACGTAAGAGGATTCACTGTGACATTAGTACTAATAGCAAAAGGTTAAAAATAGCCTCGATGCCCATCAATACTGTTAAGCTATGCTGCATCCACACAACGTGGCAGTATTCAGTCATACAAAACACAATGGAAAACGCCTGTGCGGTGATGTGGGTGATTCTCAGGATATACTAGAAAGATACTTTTCCTAGTTCCATCCTGATGAAGCCTACAAGTACTAACATTCATAAAGCAAAGGCTATACTTTGCATCTAAAATCTGACTCTTAAATGCCATTCTCCAACAATTCATTGGGAAAATAATTTATTCCAGGACTGAGAATAAATGTTCGAGATTAAGTAGAAATTTCAAAATCTAATAGGGTCTTTTTAATTTTATTTTTAAGACGGGGTTTCACCATGTTGGTCAGGCTGGTCTTGAACTCCCAACCTCAGGTGATCCGCCCGCCTTGGCCTCCAAAGTGCTTGGATTACAGGCGTGAGCCACCACGCCCAGCCCTCTAATAGGGACATTTTAAAAGCACACCAAGGCTACGCAATTTGAATCTCATTTAGAGTAATGACTGCGAAACGTATTGAATATAAAAACATTTATGAGTTCATAATATTCAAAAATGCAGAAAAAAACAACTGAAAAACAAAATTAAATTGTCACCATTAAAATTATTACATTAACTCCTAAGACTCTAAAAATCTTAAAATATATTTTAGGCCTTTTCAGTAGAACTTTTTCAAGGTAATCAAATGGCACCCACTGATGAGAAAAAAGAGTGCCAGGTACAGATGTCGGACAAACAGATGGAAAAATTTTCCCCCCAGATAGCCATTTTGCAATCCCCAATGAGATCATACATTCAGGTAATGATACTGATAAATACAAAAATCAGGTGAAGGGCAAGCTAACAGGTTCTGAAACGATGATGGCAGTGACATACAGTTGTTTTGTTTTTGCTTTTATTTCCTCCCAATCTCACCTACAAAAGGAGCAAACTAAATGGGAAAATCAAAGACCCAGAGACATTATCTACAACAAAACCATGAACCACTACAAATAAGTGGACAGAAACAAAGTTCTGACAACTAACTACAAGAGCACATGGAAGGTAACTGCCTGGTGTCTTATAGCCCTGAGAACAGGAAAACCTTAAAACTGCCAACCCACTAGAAAGCAAAAGCCAATTTGAAAATAGCTTAAAGTTTTAAACAGTTCTACAGGATCTAACCTGCAGATCATTACAAAGGGATCATGATGTGGTAAGCTCTGGGCCCTTAAAACTCCTGAACGCTAAATCCCCTGTAAAACAAACCTTGTACCAAGGAGAAACTTCCAGGAATAACTTCCAAATGGAACAGATCAAACATAATAAAGAACAAAAAAAGTGCAAATGTATGTGGGGAAGGAGGAAGTTTCAGAAAGAGGAAGGGCATATTTTTGACCATTTTACCAAAACACAGACTTCTCCCCTTCCCC